TATCGGCCAACTCGGTGATCAGCCAGTTTTTTGGCTCCCAGTGATCGGCTGTTTCGGACGCATCCGTCCGCCGACTGGGGCAGCTTGCACGTCAGTTTGGCTGTGTCTCTCTGTGCGTGAGGAAGCTTCTGCTCATACATCCAAACATTTAGCTTGTTTTCCATTGTTTTTTTGTGGATTTTTTGCAGTGCAACTGCGAAATAAGTAACCATGGCTCCAACGAAAGTTCCTGTGGTAAAGAAAGTGAGAAACACCATGGATTTTAAGCAGAGAGTGTAGCAGGCATGCAGGAGGTGCAGCAGGCATACAGGAAGTGTAGCAGGCATGCAGGGAGTGTAACAGGCATGCAGGGAGTGTAGCAGGCATGCAGGGAGTAAAGCAGACATGCAGGAAGTGTAGCAGGCATACAGAAAGTGTAGCTGGCATGCAGGAAGTGTAGCAGGCATGCAGGGAGTGTATCAGGTATGTAGGAAGTGTAGCAGGCATGCAAGGAGTGTAACAGGCATGCAGGTAGTATAGCAGGCATGCAGGTAGTGTAGCAGGCATGCAGGTAGTGTAGCAGACATGCAGGAAGTAGAGCAGGCATGCAGGAAGTGTAGTAGGCATGCAAGGAGTGTAACAGGCATGCAGGGAGTGTAGTAGATATGCAGGAAGTGTAGCAGACATGCAAGAAGTTTAGCAGGCATTCCAGAAGCCAGCATTAGTCTTCAATAAAGGTATGTAATACTGTTTTAATTGCTAATTTTTTTTTGTGAATATTTTTGTCTGGAACAGATTAATTGTATTTACATTAATTCTTATGGGAAATATTAGTTCGGTTTTCGGCCATTTCGGTTTTAGGCCGAGCTTCTGGAACTGATTACAGATGATAACCAAGGGTCCACTGTACGTATAATGTTTCAACGTTTACCTTATGAAACTGTGATGTAGTGCAGTTAGCCTCACAAATACCCCATTTTCTCTTATAATAATGGGAAGATATGTAGTCACAGCAGGAGAGAGAATAGCAGCTGCCACAACCACTACTAATCACATACGTAATAACATATTTTATTCATTCTAGAGTATATATTATGTTTCTATGTTATTAATATTATTTATTATGTCATATTATTTGAATTGTGATAGATAAATAAGCTGTAGAGCTGATATTAGCATCATATTCAAGTACATACATTTTGTCCTGTCTCCAAACAACAAACTCTCCTCCCTCTTCCATACGCCAAGACTCTTCAATAAAGGTAAAAGTGATTTATATGTTCATTTATCCATTTCATTAGTCCTTTATATTTATTTCTCATTGTTTTCTGTAACACTATAGTTATTCTGAAACGGATTAATTGGATTTACATTATTTCTTATGGGAATACAGTATTAATTTGATTTTCGTACATTTTGGATTTAGACCAACCTTCTGGAACGGATTAAGTATGAAAACTGGAGTTCCACTGTAGTGGAGAATGTTGGTGTGTGTGAGCGTTTAGTGAGGAACTGGGTGCAGTGTTTCAAGGCTGGTGGTGGTGTTGAGTTACTGTCTGCCAAACCTCAGCCTGGCCCCTCGAAGAAGACATCTGTATCTTAACTGTGTTAAAGAAGCAGTTAGAGAGTACACCTAAGATAACTGCTAGCTAGAGAATTGAAAGATAAGAACCCACATCTTCTCTCAGAGGTGTCTGTAAGAACTGCTAATAGACATGCATCAGAACTGGGCTACAGTAGTCACCACCAGGTTAAGAAACCGATCCTCTCCAAGCCACAGAAGAAACGTAGGCTGGATTATGCAAAGAAATATCTTCACCGGAATCCTCAACAGTGGGCTGAAGTAATTTGGAGTGAAGAAGCAACTTTCACTGTCACCTGTAACTGTGGGGGACATGTGTACCAGCCCAGAGGTAGTGACCCACTAGACCCACGCTACACCTGTGGGACCACAAAACACCCAGACTCGCTCATGGTTTGGGGGTGTTGCAGTGCTCAGAGTGTTGGTGAACTTATTGGGCTCCCCAAAAACCAGCATATGAACCAGTATAATTACCTGGAGTTATTGTGTGACAATTTACCTATGGCATTTGACAAGTGTGGGGCTACAGGACATGATTAAGTGTAAAAGATGCAGCATCAAGTATTAAAACCCCAGTAACTGTGCAAATATATAAATTATAATCTTTCATGGTATGTGTTTGTATTTTGGTACATGTGTGGGGGAGGGGCGGCGTAATGCCATCACTAGCACTGTAATAACACACACACACACATACACATACATGCATATACAACAGGCATAGTGTCTAATTGACATGTGCCTAGGACAAAATGGTAACTAACAAGCACATCCCTGATGACAATGGAAGACAGGGAAGAGAGAGAGGGAGGGAGGGGAATATGATAATAACATACAAAATACTGACTGTATGACCCTTATGGCTTTAGTACTTGCTTATGATTATAATAATGACAATATACTGAGAATTAACAAGGTGAACAGGAAAAGAAAGTTTTAGAAATGGGATACACAAACAAGAGGATACAACTAGAAGTTGAAAACTCAGATGAGTCACAGGGATGTTAGGAAGCATTTCTTCAGCATTAGGATTGTCAGGAAGTGGAACAATCTGGAGAGTGAAGTAGTGGAGGCTGGTTCCATACATAGCTTTAAGAAGAGGTATGATAAGGCTCTTGGAGCTGGAAGAGTGGTAGCAAATAGAGAAGAGCTGTGATCTGACCCCTGTAACCACATACCGGTGAATATATAAATAAGCATACATGCATATGCACACACATGCAAGCACATGCACACAAAAAAATACATACACAAGCAACATAGTCTACTGGATCTTGTATAAAGGTAGTCCTGCTTAAGAGTGCAAGAATATGGTAAATTTAAAAAAAAGGCTAAACCTAAGGGGTTGAGGGAAGTCCCAGGAGGTGTGCTGCACTACCCAGAGATAATAAATAGTCTAAAGAACAAATTAGATAAGGAATAGGAAAGAAAATTCATTTCCCTTCAGAAGGAAACTGAGGGAATGTACAATAAGGTCAGTGAGGAGGTTCTGAAGTAGATAAAAAGGAATATTATGATTGAATAAAGAGCTCTAAAACTGGAAGAGGAAGTGAAAAACTGAAAAAAAGCCATGGAAAAAATAAAAGAGTGGACAGATGGGGCAGTAGCAATGAAGGAGGAGCAAAGAGATCTGGAGTAGATAAAGAAGGAAAATCAAGTGGAGATGCTCTCAGAAGATGGGGGAGGCAAAGTTGATAAAGAAAACAGTGAAGACAGACAAGGCAGTCTAGAAGAAAAGGCAATGGAAGGAAGACAGAGAGAGAGAGTGAGGATGCTGATGATCTTGTCTAGAATAGGGATGTGTATGTTGACTGATTAGTTAATCATACAATCAGGTCATTAGTTGAAGTCAATCCAAGAATCTGCTTTCCATCCCTGGATAACATAGGATTTCTTACCTTGATCTAGACAAGGGCAGTTTGCATACCCAGGTGTAGATGTATTTCTGGTATCCTCAAGGTTCAGTGGCTGGACTTTCCATGTGGGCACCAGCTCATTAATGTAATGATTTGAATGCATTCAACTTGTACAGTTAACAGTAACTTACCACCTTGGTGCATGGATGAGTGTAGGAACATTGCAAAATACCATGTGTTGAGTCACAGTTTAACACCTGGAACGATACAAAAATAACCCGCACATAAAAGAGAGAAGCTTAGGACGACGTTTCGGTCCGACTAGGACCACTTACAAAGTCACATTTACAAAGTGACTTTGTAAATGGTCCTAGTCGGACCAAAACGTCGTCATAAGCTTCTCTCTTTTATGTGCGGGTTATTTGTGTATCGTTCCAGTCACGGTATTGTGCCTTTTTTTGTTATTTAACACCTGGGTTAGTTAGAGTGAGGGGATGTGTGCCTTGACTCCACGTGAACACATGCATGACTAAGAAAGCTGTGAACTGGCAGGTTGTGCACACTTCAAGGGGGTGGTAGTGTGTCAAAGACATATAGGCTTACAGTGAAATTATCATAATACTGGGCTACTTAACTTATTTAAGATGTTCATATTAGTCTACTGAGGCTTCTTCATTCAGTTAGCCTTATAATTAAGAGTTGGTAGTGGAAATGTGACAATGCTGGATGTAAGCTCACATATCATGTTACAGATCTCCTTTTCTTCCAACTCTAATGTCTCTCGCCCCCCCTTCCCCAAGACTTAGGAATAACATGGAATCAATGAAATTCTTGCTTGATTCCCCACAGATCTATGGACTCCAGGAGCCTGAAGGGGAGAGTAAGTCATGAAGTAGGAGATGGGAGGATGAAAAATAACTTGTATCTATAATTGGGTGCACAGGAGAATAGACTGAGCAGATGAAAAATTGTCAGAGGATCAGGAGGTGCTCCTGTAACGTTACAAACAACATCCAGTCAAGCTAACCTTCTGGTCAAATATAGCCAGGAACAGGATCCTAAGACAGAGAGCAAGATTGCAAGACATGTAGTATTACCAATATTACTATGTAATGGCAGATGAAGAGGTGAAGGAATGGGAATAGCCAAGGGAGTAAGAAAGCAAAAGAGAAGACAGGAGGGAACACTCAGACCCATGAAACTCCTCTAGGCTCACCTACTGCTCCTCTCCTCTCTACCCCCTCAAAGGAGGTTCCTTGATGCTGGTGAGGGGCTTTTGATCTAGGGAATTGGATCTGTATTCCAGTTCCCTGAATTGAGCATGAATGCCTTCCACTCCCCCCCCCCACAGGTGCTGTATAATTCCAATGGGTTTAGTGCTCTCTCATGAAAATAATAATAATTCAGTTGACTAACTTTCAGAATTTCACTGCAGATCTCTTAAAATTATTTTTCAAATCAATATTTTAAAGTAATTAACAGCATATAATTTTGTCAAATTATTTAATAAATTAAGAGTATTGTGGGTTGATCAAAATCAAGAAGTTTTAAGAAAAACTTGATGCAATAAAGATACCATACTGTGCAAAATGAAAATTTTAATGGTACTTTTTTTGGTAATTACATAAAACAAAGATCGCTTTAAAATAGGTGTCCTAAACAGAGTTAGATAAAAATTGTGCTTCCTATTAAACAAATGTTGTATAACTTGAAACTAACAACATCCATTTACTGTATAGAGAATGTACTGCACATTGTATTACCATATAAAAAATAAGTAATAGATCCTTAGTTTTACTACTCAAAAGTATCACAGTTCCTTTGATTTCTTACATGGAGGTCCATCAAGAGTATCTGAATCCTTCAACAAAACTTCTATTGGCAGTTGTAAACTTACACGCATCATTATCTTATTTGGGGCTACCTTTCGTATGTTTACTACTTCAAGAACATACTTTCGTAGATCTAAGTTATTTAGCAATCTGGTTTTGGTGGAACACTTTAGGTTTTCTTCAAGACACATTTCAGTGGTTGTACTTTCAGCTAATATTTCATTTTCCTTATGTGAAACATGTGAATGAGTAGCATAACCAAGCTTTTCAGCTACCTTACTTATGGCATCATCATCTGTCACATCATTTGTAAACATGTACACATGAAGAATTGGTAATGATAGATTCTGAGGCAAATCTATATTTTTATAAAGGCCCACAAATGCTGGCAGAAATTCAACTGCCATAGCAGGAAGATTCATGGTGATGTGCACAGTACCACAAAAACTCTTATCTTGCCACTTTTCCAAAAGGTCAGCTTTCAACACTGTCTTGATGAATTCACCACCATCTAGATTATAGCATCTGACTCTGTCATTCACATTGTTTTTTTCACAGTTCTTCACTAGAGCATCATACGAATGTGGATTAAGATCATTGGCTAAAACATAACACTTCTTTCGTCCTACTGGAATAGCAAATGGCCCTATACCTGCCATGACATCGTACAGGATGTCCCCATGCTTAAATTTCTTTATTACACGGTCATGTTCAGTCGAGAGTCGGGGATTCCAGTATACTTTTGCAAAATCCATTGAATATACGCTACCATTTTCTCTGACAGTCACAAGTGTGTCCCCGCTACCTGCCAAAACTTCCATCTCAAAGTTCCTGTAAGTGGAATCAATATTATTTGTTTTGTTAACAACTAAAGAAATACCTGGGATCTTATCCAGAAAAACTTGTCCAGTCAAGAATTTATATGGGAGCACATGTTCACGAAGATTGAGATGAAGGATGTGTCCTATTAATGAGTAACTTTGGACTCCTTCTTGGTTTTCTGGAAGTACAGCCTTCAAAATGTCTTCAGCTTTCCAATTTTCATAACTTAGTGCAATTTCTTTGGAAATGAAAATGGCATCATCACAAAATTTCATTAAGTCTCCTTCAATATCGGCAAATTCTGTTACCAGTAAAGGGTTAAGTACTAATACCTTCTTGTCTGCATCATTTTCATCATTCTGAACACACTTGAATTTATGCAACTTTAATAAATACTTTTTAAGGCATTTGAGTGCACCATTTATTTCACTACTTTTAACAGTGACATGAGGAACAATTATGTTCTTTTTGAATGAGTCTCTATTGAGTTCAGTCATTCCTCTCACACATGCTGGGGGGGAGAAAAGACTTATATCCATTGTTTGCTTAATCTTATGTAGAGAAGTCATGTATTTTAAATATTGTTTAAGGTTAACAACCTTACTGATATTTTCAGAACAAATCAAATGCGCACACACATGAATACACTTTATGGGTCTATACTTTTTGACTGGCTGTGATGCAAGCGATTTAATGTTAAATGATCTTAAACCAATGTACCATCTGCCATACTTGTAGGAGTTTGAGGTGCAGCAAGCCTTCTGGAGAACTCTGAAATAAAACCAACTTTATTTTAATTCTCTTCATATTGAAATTTAATATACTCTACCTAAACTAACTTTACTTCTATGGAGAACATCCTCTCCTCACTTACTGATGGAGTTCCATTCCTAAGACCTTGTCTGTAAATGAATTTGTCACTAATCAAGGAACCACCCCTTACCAATACAGTGGACCCCCGGTTTATGATATTATTTCATTCCAGAAGTATGTTTAGGTTTCATTACTGAACGAATTTGTTCCCATAAGGAATATTGTGAATTAGATTAGTCCATTTCAGACCCCCAAACATACACGTACAAACGCACTTACATAATTGGTCGCATTGGGAGCCGATCATAAAGCAGGGGTCCACTCTACAGGAGGGCCCCACTTATATGGCGGGTTAGGTTCCAGGCTACCGCCGTAAAGCGGAAACCGCCGTAAAGTGGAACACCTTTTTTTTCCACTTACAAATGCATACAAACACTGGATAACAAGTTTACACTAACATATATTATGTTAGCAATAGAACCAGGCATCAAAAAACAATAAAAAAGTACAATACACACATAGTGCACTCATTACTTACCTTAAAATATTTATAGTCTTAATCTAGGGTGAGACAAGTAGTATTTATTGTAAGAAATCAAGTGTGGTATGTATGGTAGTCAGCCAGGCTACCATACCAGGCCACCCCACCCACACATACTATTCTATGATATTTAAGCATCCCAGAGCGATAAAATGTATATACAGTTCACTCATTACTTACCTTAAAATATAGGGTGAGATGAGTAGTATTTATTGTAAAAAATCAAGTGGACAGGACAGGCGCAGAGTTATGTAAACAAACCAGGCGAAGGTAAGTTTTGTAAACAGTGTACACGTCTGGTTTGTGTACAAGTTACATTGTGTACAGGTTGTCTCTACATTGATACGGTAGAATAAATAAAGAAGAACACTCCCATTCTCATGTAACATCATTTTGAGAAGAAATGATGCTCTGAGTGAAGGCAATGGAAGTAAGTCACTCTGACTTTTTTGGGTTATCCTAGGTTCTCTACATATATGTTGTTATGTATTTATGTTATGTATCGTGTTTATTATATAATTTTGAAAAAAAATATCACGGATGGATTAATGAAAATGTGTATATTAACGTAATATACGACATTTAATGATACACTGAGCTCAGACAGCGTAAACAAACAAACTGAACAGGTTGTGGACGATCACTCGGTCAGGCGAAATAGACGGTATTAATACGTGTCCAGTTTTAGTTCATTCATGTACATTTGTAAGAGTTTGTGAAACTTTTACCTTATAATATTTTTATTATTATTATAATAATTAAATCACGAAACAAATACTCTTACACTGTGTACAAGTTAGTACAGAATTATAGCTATAAAGTGAAGGCATACGAAAGGAATATTTTTCTACAGTTATCCCTAGTAACAGGTGACGGGCTAGAGAAAATGTAATTCTTCCGACACTTCTACAAACCGTTTGGTAAACATCTCATATATATTTGTATAAATTTTTATACTGTGGGTGCATGTATCATGTTTGTGTGTTACATAATGTGTTTCTTATATAATTTTGAAAAAAATATCATAGATAGATTAAGGGAAATGTCTATATTAACGTAATATGCGACATTAATGCGCCCAAGAGATTATTATTATTATTATTATTATTATTATTACTGCATCAAGAGTAGAGAGACTCTTAGTGATTTTAATGTGTACCTACATGCCAGCACAGTGTGTAAGTTTATTTAGGTACAGGTGTACACAAGTTTAATTATCAAGTACAATACATATAAAATATACAATAACTTTAAAACACTTGAAATTTTGGAAAGTTTCCAGACATAATAAGGAGATGTGCTCAGGGAGAATGTAAACAAATTCGGTGGGCCGCTGTGACCATATTAGAAAGACAGGTGGGGGAGCCGTATAGCGAGTTTTGGTCATAATTTGAAATGTCCGTATTAGCGGAACGCCGTAAAGCGAAACGCCGTAAAGCGGGGCCCTGCTGTACTTCAAAAAATGTCACCACCTGAAATTCAAACTTCAGTTTAAAGTTTGCTGTGAAAATCCTTGCAATCCTCTCATTATTAACAGTAATACAACGTGAAATAGGTCAACTTACTCCCAAGATATTCCAGGAAAGACACGCACAGCTGATTACTTGGGATTTTTTTTTTTTTTTTGAGAAAAATCTCACTTTTATCAGTCTTTGCATAGAATAAGTGTGATCTATAGTTACCCTTCAGGCACATAGGGCATAATGTTTTCTGTAATGGTCGCAGTCACTTTTTTTTTTAAGCCCTCCCCGCCACCCACCCTTCAATACCTCTCCTGTTAGCCTTCCACATCACACACAATTTACTCTTGACGAAAGTGTTTTTCTCGAACACAATGGGATTTTCAGAGTGATACACCAGTAAAGACTTCACTTTGAAATCCCCACTAGCATTACCTCACAACAAGAGAGTTAGCCTGTCTTTCATGAGCTTGTGTCCTGGGAGTGCCTTTTCCTCCTGCGTGATGTAGATCCTCTTTGGCATTTTCTTCCAAAACAGGCCTGTTTCATCACAACTGAACATTTGTTGGGGTTGGAATTTTTCAGCCTCTACATAGTTTGAATTCCCACACAAACTTTTCAGATGCGTATTTGTCTGAACTTGCAGCCTCACCATGCCTTACAACACTGTGTATGTCACTTTGCTTCTTGAATTTTTCGAACCAGCCTTTGCTGGCCTTAAATTCACCAACATCAGCACTCGTTCCAGGCAGTTTCTTTATGGGATCATTATGCAACTACCTTGCCTTTTCATAAATTATCGACTGCACAACACTATCTCCCACTGTTTCTCTCTGATCCACATGAACAATAATTTCTCCACATCTTCAATTGTTTGGGATCTCTGTTTTGTTATCGAATTCACCCCTTTCACAACATCAGCTTCCATAATTTCTTCGCTCTTTGCCACAATGGAACTGATGGTTGATGGCGCCTTCCTGTACATCCTGCCGAGGTTGGCAATATGTATGCCACTATCATATTTTTGAACGATTTCTTTTTTCATTTCTATGGTGTTCTTCACTTTCTTTACCAAAGGACTGGCACTAGGAGCTTTCTTTGGGCCCATGGTGGCTTATTTAGTAGTCACACACAATAAACAAGTGTCAAAACAATGGATTATTTCAAAATGTTTTGTATGACCTCGCAGGACGTGTTCACTCACCGAGAAACAACGCAACACTGCCTCAGAATGTGTGGAAGGCAGCTTTGTGCATGCGCTGGGCACTGGACAGGTTCTGTACCATTGATGAAAATGGAGGAAATCAATGAAAACAGAACCAATATTTTGACAAAAAAACTCAGCGAAAATGGAAATTGGCGACAATGGAGATCGACGAAAAGGTAGGATCAGTTATGGAGAGAAAAGAGGATTATGTGGATTAAAATAAGGGTCAGATGTGGAAAGTGGGCCATAATAAATGTGCATGCACTTGGAGAAGAGTATAGAGGAGAGAGAGAGATTTTGGGAGATGTTAAGTGAGTGTGCAGGAACTTTTGAACCAAGTGAGAGAGTAATTGTGGTAGGGGACCTAAATGCTAAAGAAGGATAAACATTTAGAGAGATTGTGGTAGGGGACCTAAATGCTAAAGAAGGATAAACATTTAGAGAGGGTGTGGTATGTTTCGGGTGCCAGGTGTAAATAATAATGGGAAACATTTGATTGAACTTTGCATAGAAAGGGGTTTGGTTATAGGTAACACATATTTTAAGAAAAAGAGGACAAATAAGTATACAAGATATGATATAGGGCATAATGACAGTTTGTTGGACTGTTGGGTAGAGTTCAGGATGTACATGTTTATAGAGGGGCCACAGATGTATCAAATCACATTTTAGTTGTAGCTACAGTGAGAGTAAAAGGTGGATGGGATACAAGGAAAATGGAAGCAGCAAGAGAGAGGTGAAGGTTTATAAACTAAAGGAGGAGGCTCCTCCTTTAGTTTAGGGTAAAATATAAACAACTGTTGGAGGGCAAATGAGCTAGTGTGAGTATAGGCATTGGAGTAGAAGATGTATGGGGTAAGTTTAAGATTATAGTGTTAGTGTGTTCAGCAGAAGTTTGTGGTTACAGGAAAGTGGATGCAGGAGGGAAGAAGACCGATTGGTGGAATGATGATGTAAAGAGAGTAGTAAGAGAGGCTATGAGAGTGGTGAAGTAATGTAAAAAGAGAGCAAAAGAGTGGGTGAGATGTTATCAACAAATTTTATTGAAAATAAGAAAAGGTTTTGGAGTGAGATTAGTAAGTTGAGAAAGCCTAGGGAACAAATGGATTTGTTAGTTAAAAATAGGAAAGGAGAGTTATTAAATGGAGAGTTAGAGGTATCTGGAAGATGGAGGGAATATTCTGAGGAATTGTGTTAAATGTTGATGAAGATAGGGAAGCTGTGATTTTGTGTATAGTGCAAGAAGGAATAACATCTTATAGGAGTGAGGAAGAACCAGTTGTAAGTGTGGGGGAAGTGTGTGGGGCAGTGGGTAGAATGAAAGGGGGTAAAGCAGCTGGGATTGATGAGATAAAGATAGAAATGTTGAGAGCAGGTGGAGTGGTTAGTGCTTTTATTTAATAAACGTATGGAAGAGGGTAAGATACCTAGGGATTGGCAGAGAGCATGCATAGTTCCCTTGTATAAAGGCAAAGGGGACAAAAGAGAGTGTAAAAATTATAGGGGAATAAGTCTCTTGAGTATACCTGGTAAAGTGTATGGTAGAGTTATTACTGAAAGAATTAAGAGTAAGAAGGAGTGCAGGATAGCAGATGAACAAGGAGGCTTTAGGAAGGGTAGGGGGTGTGTAGACCAAGTGTTTGCAGTGAAACATATAGGTGAACAGTAATCAGATAAGGGTAAAGAGGTTTTTGCGGCATTTATGGATTTGGAAAAGGCGTATGATAGGGCAGATTGGTGAGCAATGTGG